CAGACCCAAATATAAATTATATGATTACCGAGGATTAGTCCATAGGGAACCTATGGGGTTACTGGGGGGGAATCTCCAAAATAATATCAATTATATGACTATCATCTTCGTCCTCTTTCGAGACACCATGTGTTCCTTAGAATCGCTTATTCCATAAAGAAATCCAATAACGTCTGCAAACACAATTTTCATTAGTTGTTATAGATGAATAATAATGTATTTGAAGAAATGGAAGAGAACGTTACATGCAGTGTCATTAGGATAGTTTTCAACATCCTAGAATTCCATGAATGAAAAACCATTGATAGAAAGGTTAGTATCGAGTATCGACACTCGGTGTCACAACATTTCTTAAATTAAAAGTAATCCTGTACTCATGTTGCGTTGGCTTAAATTTTTCAGAATTAAGGCCAACACCAAAATTTCGTATTACAACCAACAAAGCCCAACACAGTTGGTAGATAGCTGGGTTCCTTAAACATGCTGACAGGGGTTCGATTCCTGGCCATGCGTATGGAAAAAGCTTTGTTGGGAGATATTTACCCACTTAATGTGATCTCACGCCTCGAAAGGATTAGTCTTCGGCCCTCGGCTGGAGGATACCTTGGGAAACCAAAAAAAAAATTCATATTACATATATTCTGTTAGTATTTGGGTGTCCTAGAGACAATCTTATGATTAAATAAGGACATAGATGTAGACCTTTTTAATATTGTCAAAAATAAATAAAAGCACTCTTTATCTTGTTTCATAATTCTGTCTCGATATTAATGTTAATAAATTATGAATAACTTGATAAACCCCGTGGAATAAAATATGTATCTCTTGAGTATCTGTGATGAGATCACAATCATGAGGATTCAAGAATACCGAATGTTTATTCCTAATTTTATGTTCCTAGTCTAGAGATACTGAGAATGGGGTCAGTGATCTCGGGTAAGACTAGCACGACTTATCTACTTGTATATGGATACAAGGTATAGACCTCATGTGCTACAGATATGGAGATGTCTTAGCTAAAGTCGTGGGTGGACCTATAAGGGTATAGCTCGCACTGAACAGACCCACAAAGAGACTCTATGAGGAACTCTCACAGAGAGTATCATTAGAGTAGTCTCTTTATATTTGGGTATGTCTTTCCTAAGACCAGAAGTTATTACCTAGACTGTGTTCTAGAAGGCATGCTTTGATTGTGCACCTCGTCTGCCTGAAACATGGAGACTCATAGGTATACTGTTGGGCTTGTCCTGAAAGAACACAGGGCTAGGGTGATAAGCTGAAGGAATTCGTCAAATCTCTGTGAGAGATTAGGTTATCTGTAAACCGGAGAAATCAGGATGACATTTACAGGGACTCGGGAATCTATGCATAGTAAAAGAGATCATGAGATGATCTGCCTTTAGAGTCTGTAAATTGAAGATTCCCTATTTCGAATAAAGCTTACCCTAAACCGCAGGGGTTGATACGCTTCCTTACCCTAGGTTTTATGGGAATGTAACCGAGACGAAAGGAAATATATACGGCAACCAAATATGTGTAATAGGATGATCAAGTCACTAATCTAACTAGTTCTTGGGCAACAAAGCATTGCTAGTGCTCTGTGTTGTCATTAGATGGGTTGTGGGCTTATTGGGCCCAAGCCCATTTATGTCAGTGGCTATGTTGGACCTAATGGGTCACACACTAACACCTAATTGTCTAGATGCTCTAGCATTAATGGTATTGGGCCTAATAATTGTTATTAGCCCAATGAGTAGTTTGGAACTCCACAGATAGGGTGGAGGGCGCATGGATCTAAGTAATGGGCTTGGATAGTCCAAGACATTACTAATTAATTTAATTAGTTAAATTAATTATCAAATGTTTAAATTTTGAATTTTGAATTTGAAATTTGAAATTTGAAATTCGAATTTTGAATTTGAATTTTGAAATTCGAATTTTGAATTTGAAATTCGAAATTTGAATTTGGAATTTTGAAATTTGAATTTTGAATTTGAATTTTGAAATTTGAATCTTGAAATTTGAATTTTGAAATTTGAATTTGAATTTAGAATTTGAATTTAGAATTTGAATTTGAATTTAAAATTTAAGTGTTTGAAAGTTTGAATTCAAATGTTTGAAATTCGAATTTGAATTGGCTATGAAAAGTTGTTTCATAACAAAAGTATAAGATGAGATCTTGTTGGAACATATCAAGAGGAAATCTTTTGGACATAATCTAAGAAGATTTGGGGTGCTGATTTGGCTGTTGGTTAGTCATCAGAATCAGCTCAAGAAGATACGATCTGTTGGGAGAATATTTGAGTGATTTGATTCAAGTTTGAATGCAACTACTCAAATGTATCTGGTCATTATTTAGGCTATATGGGACGCACCATATAGCTGAATATATGATGATATATGATCAAATATTTGATTAGGCTTTGAACCTAATATCATAAAGATATGATAGGATGTTGTTGGCAATATTAAATAAGATTTGATTTCCAACAAATCCTCTTGTTTCTCCTTGTTGGTGCGCCCTTTTGAAGGGATTTTGAGGATCAAAAATCTGATTGCATCATGAATCTCTTGATCACTACTTGTGCGCCTAATAGTATATATGTTCCTCCTAGGGTTTTGTAAAAGGCCTAAGCCATTCTCTCCTTATTCCTGCGCCACTTTTGTGAGGTTTTCTCTCTGAAAACTTCACTCTTCTAAACACTTTTACATAGTCTCCTTTCATCACACATTGAGCGCATAGCAATCCTTATTGTGGTGATCAGTCGGGTGGTGTGGATCAACGTTAGAGGGTCTGAACCCTTCAGACCTACCTTGATCATCTTAAGTTTTCACGAACAAGGTATGACATACGTCTTAAAGTATGTATCTTGACATGCATGTGTATTCCGCTTGCGGGAATTTTTTTTGTTTTTTCCTCTCACATACTACAGCCTTCAAGGCCAATTCGAACTTTCATATTCCACCCCTCTACTAGTTGATCTCTTATCCTCAGAGAACCACGTACAATCCCATGAATTTTACCACCCTGTTATTACTAAAAGGAGGACCTATTGTAGGAATTAACTAGTTAAGTGTGAAAAGAAATCTGGTTCATAGTGTCTGAAGCAGCTCTAATAATAATAGTAATAATTCTAGTAATAACTAGTAATAAAGATATGCATATTAAGTTTTTTTTTTAAAAAGTAATTTTTTAAATAAGTAATGATATATTTTAAATTAAATTAAAATAAATATATCTAGAGATACAGGTTGGGTAGGATCGGATATTGAGAGAAAAATCCAAATCAATTAAAAATATTTTATTTGATTTGGTTCGAATTGGTAAATTTATTTTGTGTGTGAACTCTACATATAATGTTTAAGATTTGTGGTAGTCCTGACTGTGCATGGCTCCACCATCACCGCCACATCACCACTTGTTCACAGTTTGAAAATACTAAATCTGACATGCAATGTTGAAAAGATGGAGATCTTAAAGTAAAATTGGATAGGGATTAAAAAATTATAAAACGTAAAATCGTAATGTAAAAAAATTGTAAAAGCGTTTAAAATATTAGTAAAATCGTTTTGATGAAAAGAAATCGTAAAAATGTTGCTGATATGTGAGCAATTTCACACAAAACAACCCAAATATCATAAACTTGGGATTTTGTATTCATGTCGGTTGAACCGGGTCATTTGAGCATCTTAACTTAAAGGGGATTTATTAATCTCATGTTACATGAGATAATTATTTCATGCAATAGAGATAAGATAGTGGAGTTCACCATTTATAAAATAAAAAATAAAAAAATAAATAATATGCATCCTGCTACTTTATCTCTATTGCATGAGATAATTATCCCATGCAACATGAGATAATTATTTCCCTAACTTAAAGTATATATTTATTTATCTTAAAAATAAACTAATTTTAAAATAACTTCCGTCAACTTTTTGGTTAGTGTGAGGTTTATTGCGGGTTACTTTGGTAGATCTATATTTTCTCGGAGTGGATCTTCTCATGTGAAAAAGTGGTCATGTGGTCATGTTATTTTGATCACAATCACTCACTCATTGAAGATGAGATAAGAGAGAGAAAAGTATATAATTTTTGAATGAGTGGTTGTGATCAAATAACATAATCACATGATCACTTTTCCACACGAAAGGACATATTTTCTTATTCTATTTTTAATAGAAAAGTCATGACAAGTTATTAGAAAGTTAGTCCGCGTCCTTTCTTTCAAAAAAAGGCAGCTCAGGTGGGCCCAACTTCAGCTTCCTCCCAACATATATCTCAAAAAATACAAACACAAACAACAAAAGTGGGTTAGTTGCATGCTATACTGCCATGCCACCAAAATGGGGAATAAGAAAGAAAATAACCCATATACCTATTTCCCTTTTTTCTATTTCCCATGAAAGAAAAAAAAGAAAAAAAAGAGAGACAAAACCACAGCACTCACTGTTTTATTTTTCTCTATCTACAAAACAAGAAATTTTTTTTTTGTTTATTTCCATTTTCATATCTCTAAATCCAAATCCAAATCCAAAAGAAAAAACTAAAATACTCATTGTTTCTCTATATTATCTACAAAAAGAAAAGAAAAAACTCCAATTCGTTTTCACCATTGTTTTCATTTTCATATCTCCAAAACAAGAAAAAAAAAATCATTTATTTCCATTTTCATATCTCTAAATCCAAATCCAAAACAGAAACTATTTTCGTTGTCGTTTTCAGTTGCATATCCGCAATCCAAAAATAGGTAATTGCACACTCTGTTTATCTTTCTCTCTACTAAAAAGAAATAAATGAATTAATCCATTTTCACATCTCTTATCCAAGGGCAAAACAAAAGCACACCCTGTTTCCTATATCTCTAGAAAAAATAAAAATATTCCATATCTAACTTTTCAGTTTTTCTTTTTCTTTTTCTTTCTATTTTATCTCACTCTAGAAATTCTTGACGTTGTAGATAAGTCTTAGTCTACCCCCATTATATCTCTGTTTCTCTATCTGTCAGAGCAACTACAAAAGCAACAGAAAGCCAAATTGTTCAAATCCTCCACATATTTTTACTCGAACACAAACAGTAAATTTCACAACAAAATCTCTCTTCAAAGCCTATTAATGAGAAAAACAGCTGCTCAACAACAAGAAGAAAAAAGAAAAGAAAAACAGAGACAACAGAAAAAGTCATCATCATAAACCAGCACAGACAAAACTTCCAAAAAAAATCAAAAAACACCTCCTCCTCCGCCGCGCCGGAGAATCATCGCCATCGTCTGCCACCGCCCCTTTCGTGAGGTGAGAAAGAATAAACCTTGAATTTGATTTTTTTTTCGTTTCTTTCTTTTTTTTAGAAAAAAAAAAAGCCCAAATTTTCTTGCCCGTGAAAAATTGAGCTTGATTATGATTATTCTGAAAAGAAACCCTGGTTTTTTGCGATCAGGGTATCGTTGAATTCTCGAAGATGTCGAGGTTTCCGTTCTTCAACCGTTCGAACACGATTCACTCAGAAGCGTCGCGGAAACCCTACCACCACCTCGACCAGAACCACCTGGACCGGTCCGGTTCATTGAGCAAATTCTACGGTTCAATGGAATCGGTGAAGTCCGCGGGAAACTCCATCCGCGGAAGGGTGGTGAAGAAGCTCTGCAATTTGTTCGAATCATCATCGAAAGAATCGTCAAAATCATCGCCATCACCTTCTTCTTCTGAAGAACCGGTTCGTTCTTCGAAATCGAGTACTAAACCGGGTTCAGAACCGTTCACGTTGTTCAGATTATCGAACGCAGAGGACCGAGTCGTTGTGTATTTGACGAGCCTGCGAGGGATTAGAAGGACATTCGAGGATTGCAACGCGGTTCGGATGATTCTGAAGGGTTTTAGGATTTGGGTTGATGAAAGGGATGTGTCTATGGATCGTGAGTATAGAAAAGAGTTGCAGTGTGTGTTGGGTGAAGAGAATGTTGCATTGCCTCAAGTGTTTATTAAAGGAAAGTATGTTGGGGGTGCTAATGTGATTAAGGATCTTTTTGAATGTGGTGAATTGGGTAGGGTTCTTGAAGGGATACCTAAGACAAAGCCTGGTTTTGTTTGTGAGACTTGTGGGGATGTGAGGTTTATGCCTTGTGATAATTGCAGTGGGAGTATGAAGGTTTTTGATGAGGATGAAGGGTTGTTGAAGAGGTGCTTGGAGTGTAATGAGAATGGACTCATTCGGTGTCCTAGCTGCTGTTACTAAGTTGATTTTATTTGATTATGATGGTGGTGGTGGTGTTTATGTGGTAATGTGGGTTTGGTTAATGGATATTCAAAGTGCTCTTTGAATTTATGGATGTTTTTTTCTTTTAGTTCTGCTCCTTGAACAGAGTTTTGTTTGGTTCAAGAATGTGTTTTTTTTTCAATCAAAATGCAAAACTGGTATCAGAATGTGTATGTTCCCGACAATGTAAATATTTAGTGTGTATAATAATTTATTTAGTGTGTATAATAATTTGCAAATATTGGTCCTTGGTAGTTTATACTCGGCTTTTTCACCTTATTAATTTATTTTTCAAAAAGTTTGATCGAATTAAGTTTTGTCAAACTTATTGTTAGATTAATGCACAGAGAGACATGATACTTGTCACATTTAAATGTTTAATCATGATAAGTGACATGTCAGGTGTTACGTCTCTCTGCATTAGGCTAGTAATAAATTTGACCAAAAATTTAATTCCATCAAATCTTTTGAAAAACGAATTAGTACTCTGAAAAAATGCTTTATACTCATAATGTGATATTTTAATCCTTTTTTCATTTCGGAGATGTTATGTGTAATCCATTGTCCGATTAATTCGATTCAAAATATTGTGGGATTCATTATAAAGGACGTATCTTTTAAGATCATTTTTTTCATTATCAGAATTTGAGCTCTAAACCTCTGATTAAGATAAACAAGTTAGTTATTATTTGAACTGATGGTTATGGGTTTTATTGTATTTGACAGCACCTGGTTAATGATCTTGCATAGAGCATTTTGATTGACTCCGTTCTTGTTTGTGCAATTGACACTCGAATAAAATTTCATTTTTAACTCTGGTGATTTAGTCTGATAGGTTGTCATTGAGGTGTGTTCTTGGACACGAAGAGTAATGTGCATGTCTCATTCTTCATGTTGAACGATTTTATCTTTTTCTTTATAATTTGTGAATTGAGAAAAATCATCTTTCGTTTAAAATTATCAGCCCTAAATTAATCAATTCGGCAATAAATCAAAATTAAAAACCAATAAATTATATCAAATATTTACCTTAAAGTTATATTAGCTCGATGAATTAATCAATTTTGTAAATTTAATATCCAATAAATGCTGATTTGTTTTTTATTTTTTTTTTTGAAAAATATAATAAACAATAAAGACGATTTGCTTTTTCAAGTAGCCTACACAACAAGCATGGAAAATATTTACGAGTTGCATGATTCACAACTATGTTATCTTCCCAATTAATTAATCAATTCTACAATAAATAAAAATTAAAAATCAACAAAATTTATAACAAATATTTTCTTGAAGTTATATCGGCCCGAATAATTAATCAATTCTCCAATGAATTATATTTTCTGAAAAGAAAAAAAAAAATCAACATTTATTGAACATTAAATCGTCTTTATCGTTTTTCCATGGATACTCCATCTGCATATGCCATGTTACACTATAGTCTCTGCACTATCCAGCGACTTCAATCCTCTCTCCACTTACAAAATGTCGTGTAACGCGCTATACAGTATAACGACTTAGTCCTGACTCCTTGACTGGTTGAAAAATACTGCACTGTTTAGCAAGTTACGTGGCCTAAAACTCGCTGGTCGCTGCCACATGTGTAAATGTAAAATGCTAGGTTTTGTAGCATTTTTGGTGAGTTGGCATTTTGGCAAATTTTTTAGAGAGTGTGACATTCCGATAAATTTTTGTCAATAACGTGGCAAAATGATTGTTGTCCCCCATTCAGGCGTGTCTGAATGATTTCTTTAGTATCCTTTCATAATTATTTTCTAGGGTGTTTAGTCCTGCGGAATTGTTTTTATAACTTTTTGAATTTTTTTAATGAGTTCCACATACCTCATTGGGAATTCATTAATATTATTTTAATGGTTAAGGGCTTTGGATGATTAAGGTCGCGTACGTGACGTGATCCGTGAGTTCTCCATGGATTCCAGCAAAACTTGAAGGGGAGATAAAAAAAAATTAATGAATTCCTAAGGGATTTACGAGTTTCATTAAGGAGGTATTTGGTAGAGAAGAAGGTAAGAGTCTTTTGGGCTAGAAGCGTGGATATTGCACAGACTCAATTTTTGGTTTACCTTTTGTGCTTCTATTTTAATTTCACTTTAAAGTGGGGGGTGGTGAGGATCGAACTTGTGAATTTGTTATCACTCAAGCTCTGATACCATGTAAAGAATCACTTCAACCCAAAACCTTAAGTTGTTGGGTGAGAGTCTTTTTAATGATTTATATTATTCTCTAACAAATCCCAAGTATATGCTGAAAAAATGAATTTTTCAAGAATGTTATAAAAAATTGTTTGGTAGGGCAAAATATTACCGAGAATGTTACCAAAAAGAAGTGTAAAATTTTCTCATTCAATGGAATCCAAGAATACCTCCCTCCTAGTGGTATTCTTGGATAGCATTTTAGTTCAAAAAGCTTCACAATTTTTTTTCCTGGGAATATGATTTTCCCGAATTTTTTTTAATAATCCGTATATCAAACATGGATAAATAAGATTATCAATATCAGTTTTTCAAAATTTCAAAATTTCAAAATTTTTCCTTGTCCCAAACTTCCATTAAGAAAATTTAAAAATAAAAAACAGTTTTGCGGGAGCTAATCCGTGAAAATTAACACCCTCCATCAAAAAATAACTTTAGAGGCATGCTAAACGTGTAAAATACACATTGTACGCCTCAAATTCCTGCTGCCATCTTATTCTTAATATTGAATAATTTAGGTGCATCAAATATTACTCTATAACTAGAGATGTGTGATTGTGAATTTTGGAAAGCTAAAGAAAGAAGAGGGGGAAAAGAACTTCGTGATTATTCTTTTCCATACCCATATATTAACTTCAAATAGTTCTGTCTTTTGATGTAAGCTAGATAATATTCTTGTAATCCAATATCGAATCTGCTGTAACCTTTTGATTAAAGTTTGATTAGGATCCGATTAGATGAGAGTTGAAATTACAGTTTAGAATTCTAATTTTAGTTTTAATTTTCTCCGATTTGGAACTATTAACAATTTTAATTTTGAAGTTTGAGACAAATGAAGAACTGAGATTTTAAATCGAATAAAATTTTATTGAAAATTAAGTCATTAGATTTAGTTTAGTGATAAAGGTCGAGGTAGTTTGTATTAAATTATATGTTTAATTTTTACTAAAAAAAATCATTGAAAGACGAAAAAATGCTTGGTTAGATATCACAATGGGCAATATGACGCATGCGATGCAATTTTTTTTTAAAATATTAAAATAATATTAATTTTAATATTTAGTATTAAAATAATGCAATGAGTCCCGTATAAAACGTGTACGTTATGTCACGTGCCGAATGATGAATGTTGATAAATCTAGGAGTTGTATTTTGAGTAGATATTAATCGCGGTTAAACCGTGGGAAAAAAGTCGTAGTACATTATCACAAAAACTTGTTGGCAACATGTGACACAATCTATCCAAGAACGTGCTTCTGATAAAAAAAAAAGAGGGGGGGGGGGGGGGGGGGGGGGGGGGACTTACTCTTTGATGGTTGGGTTTGCAGTATTCACCTGTTGATAAAAAGGGAGGTCAATATTTACAAAAATAATTCAAAAATATGAGGATGACAATAGTTTATTGTTTTTCATCCTTTTCCATGCATTGCACCTTTTATTGTACAAAAACTACTTGCATGTTTTCATCAAAAAAAGTTAAAAAAAAACAAGGAGGGGGGTGCTCATAAAAAATACAAAAAATATTTTTTTGTTTATTTTGTGTTATTTAATTTGTTATTGGAGGGATTTATTTCAACTTTAATGGTAGGTTGTTTAATTTTCTTTTAAAACTAACAAAATGTTGTCATTTTATAAAAAAAAAAAATCATACACTCATGTTGCACTCAAATAATAAAAATGTGTATCTCTTTTTCTTTTTAAAAAATTTGTGGGTCTTACTTTATTTCTCTGTTAATATGAAAAAAAATTCTCGAGAAGTAAATCCCAAAAATAAAATAAATAAATAAAGATGTTGTAGTATCGCTTACACAGTTGATGTACATTTTATTATTATGTATCTCATTAAAGGTTGTGGATTTTATTGTTAAATAATGCATCATGTCAACATCTTTTCAATAACAAAAGTTGTCATCTTTTTGTATATATATTTCAAGCTAGTTTGGTATCTACGTAATCAATATTATTTTTATTTTCTTAATTATTTTTAGTTGGTATATGGTTTTAACCCTTCCTTTGATAATAATAATAATAATAATAGTAATAATAACAATTTTATTTCTCTTATATCACATAAGAGAAACTTTATCTCTTATACATAGAATACATGGTGGGATCTACTTTATTTAAAAAAAAAAAATTAAAATGAGAGTAGAAGATAAGATTTATCTTATGTGACATAAGAGAAATAAAACTCTAATAATAATGGATTTAACTTTTGAAGCAAAATCGCATTATCAAATTCATTTTAACTAATCTCTTTTAAACTTCTTATATTCCATGTAATGATCGACAATGTTGATTGTATGGCTCGCCATTCTCAGACATTATCTGTATCGTAAGAGTCTTCGTATAGCCGAGCTATATTGGACTCCGAGCAAATGTGAATTTATTTTCAAAACAGATGTGAATTTAATTTCAAACTGCTTTATCAATTTCATTGCAAATACATTACGTTCAAATATGTTTTAAATTTCTTCTAATTTGTGAAACGATCGACGATGTTGACTATATGGCTCCCCATCCCCAATCGTTGTCCATTCCTAAGAGTCTTCGTATAACTATGTAATCTTGGACTACATGCAATGAGGATTTATTTTCAAAACAAAATTCTTCGTCAATTTCTTTATAATCGAGATGCGTCTTAATAAATCTGTTTCAAACTTTTTGTTAATCCACGCGACGATCTATGATGTTGATTGTGTGGTTGGCCACCCTCAAGCATCTTATGCTTCATAAGGATATACGTATAGTCATGTTATCTTATATTATGTGCAATTGTGAGTAATTTTCGAGAGTTTTAAATTTAACAAAACCAGCTTACCAAAAAAAAAAAATGTAACAAAACCATAAATCTTTCTTAAGAACTACGTAGCTTTGAGTTTCTCATTGTACTAGAGGATATGTCAGAGTGAAATTTTTCCGTCAATCTCAAAATAAAACTTTTATAATTTTGTTTTCCTTTCTTATAAATAATTTTCGTCTTTTTTTTTGGTTAAGCAAATACTATAA